TTAGATCTGGCCCTGGTGCATGCGCTCGGGTTCTTCATATTAAACTGATCTACTGTCACATCCTGCCAGCAAGGAGTGGCAAGAAAATACAATCACTTGTTGGCCTTTTGGCTGAAATCAAAGTTATATTATTTGTTCTTATCTGCTTAATCCGATTATCTGTCTTCCTTATCCTATGTTCCCTTCTTTCTTTCATTTTCTCACTGAGACCAAGTAGGTTTGTCCCCTCTTTCCACGTGATCAAAGCAGAAGGGTTTATTATTTATGAGTTACTGGCAGGGCGTAACGGTCGTGCGAACTAACAAAGAGAGGGACAAGCAGTTATAATAGAGCATTCTTATTATTAAGAAGAAGAAAAAGTAAAAGTAGAATTTCCAACAATATCTTCTTTCATTTGTTTTAATACAAAAGAATATCCAGGCTGTTTTTACAAATTAGCGAGCGGTAAACAGATCGCTTTCCGAAAATAATCAGTTATCTGCGAGGTTTAAACTTGCATCTCGAATTCTTGAAAGACATGTCTAACATAGGCAACGCTACGGAATCCAAGTAAAAACCTTTGTTATATAGCTAAATTTTTCTTATCTGTTAAAAAGGCCCAAGTTATCATTAAATTAGAAAAATCAAAATGAAATAAAACACTAAATGACAATAATTTTTCTAAAGAATTCGGACAATTTAAAGCTATTATTTTTCAACTACTAAATATAAATGAACAATATGACGCTTACGTCATATCAAATAAAAAGGAATGTTAGTACATGGTTAAATTTGAATGACGTCTTTATGACTAAATTTAATTAAAATCTACTCATTGGCATACGGAGCCTTGTGGATAAGTTGCTACACATATAAAAAATCACACAGATTTTTCTACTAAATTTCTTCTAAAACAAGTCTTGAGATGGTAATATTGAATATGATGCGTGATGTGAATGGAAGAGAAGTTGTTAGGAAATGAAAACCACGAGGATAAGGAGGATAGATAAAAATTGACCCTTGAATTGCGGAGGTCAAGACTGAAATGTTCCAGGAAACACCTACGCAGTAGTTGAAGTTCTTGACGAAAACCTCTACGAGAGAAAATGTTGTTCTTACATTTAGAACACGGGGTAAATTAGGAAGATTTGACTCCGTGGATGTAGCATAGTGTGTCCAAGCTGTAAATGTTTTAAATCATAGAACAAAAGAATAGAGAAAATCTCCTGGGCTAAGATTTCTTGTTTTCATTCATGTTGCTTTCTTTCTAGTTGTAGAATGTAAAAACAACCGGTGTAACAAAAATAAGATGAACGAAAACCGAATTAAAAAAAAAAAAAATAATGATCACCACTTGTTTTACTTTTGTGCATCACTTATTGTATATTTTATTTCACATGATTATTCCTATGAACAGTTATTAAGGAGGACAGGGTAAGGCACAAGGTCATATTTGCGTTAATGCTCCCTACAGAGATTATGGGAGAAGATAATTTATAAATTTTTAGATATCAGGACAAAAAGCTTAACATAGAATGTGTTACAACTACTTCTTAAATAATAAGATTTAATAAAACAAAACAAAATAATAATAAGTTAAAACATGAAGGAGGAATTTACTCTATCAACTGTAAGAGGAATTTACTCTATTACTTGTAATAATTGCCACAAGCAGTACACAGGAGAAACCTCGGGAATTTAAATAAAAAAATATAAACACAAAAGGAGTATGTAACAAAAGAACACTCTCAATACATTAGTTACTTACCGTTATGAGTCTGACCATAATTTAGATTTAAAAAAATGCTACTTTAATTAAAATAGAAATCAATTTACTAAGACGAAAGTGTACAGAAAGTGCTTTAATCGCTAGATCATCCAAAGTAAATTTGCGTCCAGTTTCTTACAACATTTCACTTTTCTTGGTAGATCCATTATCACAATGTGTAATACTTAATAACAAAGGGGATAAAAAAAAGTAAATAAAAGAAAGTAAACGAATTTGGCAAGATTATATGCTTGGACACATCTAAAAAAATAATTTAGAAGATTAAAATGTCAGCGTTCCAACATTTTCAGCGTCCCAACATTTTCACAAATCTTCTTCTTCTTCTTCTTCTTCTTGTATGTACCATGTTCCTTCAGTACGTAGGCGATTATGACTCTCCACAATTTCCTGTCCTTTGTAGCTCTTAACAAATTTTCTCATTTTGTTATCAGTCCTAAACCTTTCATCATCATCCATTTACTAAATATAGCCAGGTAGGTTATGCGTTGTTTGCTCTGTCTCACTCGCCTTCTATCTGCCCTATGAGTATCACATTTTCCAAGTCCTCTATCCTCATTATGTACCCTAGAAAATTCAACTGTCTCTTCCTGATGTTAAATATAAGTGTCCTATGTTTCCATTTTCTCTAAAAGCTTGTCATTGCTCACATGTTCTGTCCATGGTATTCTCAGCATCCTTCTGTAGAACCATATTTCTGTTCTATTCCATTCATCAGTGAGGAAGTTATTCAGCTTATATATTGGGGGACAGATATCACGTGATAGATCAGTACTCATTTCTTTGTTTCTTACGAAGATTTTAATGATTTGATAAACATTATTGCTTTATTTCTTTTATATTATTTCTGTTACTTTTTTATCACAATTCCCAGGTTATCATTTGAAGTAATAAGACCCCAGCAAGATTTGCATTCCTATCTTATAATTTTGATCCAGCCTTTTTGTGGAAATACCTACAAAGGCCAAGCAGTTGGATGTATTCGCATTTAGCCATATAGATATATTTTCTTGATGTTAAGTATAAGTGACTTTTTTGTTTCTATTTTATCTAAAGCTTAGTAGTTCATCACATGTTCGATAAATTTGGCTAAATACAATACGGGAATATATTACGTCAAGTTGCTGTGTTTATTGTCCTTTTCATCTACCATATTATTATCCGAGCGGTGTTGCCGTTGTGTTTAACATACACAATTTATATATCTGACATTGTATGGATGCGCAAATCTCTAACTCCAGAAAACCCTAATTATACAAAGAGAAGTTTGGAACAGCAGGACAATGCTGGTATTTACTAAAGTTAGCTTAGTCTCGGTGTAATTAGTGGGTGGCCAGTGAGAATCACACCAAAATATTTGTCTAACCACTACGCCACATTGAAACGCCCACGAAATGTTAGATATGTTATTGATTCTTAAAGATGCAAACAAATATAGAAATGTTTAATATAACTTTTTTATTGTATTTTTGTAGAATAACGTCTCGTCGATAAGTGGTTGAGTGTGGGAGTTTATCATCTTACCTACAAGCATTTGTAAATGATAATGTTGTTAAGTAATGTTTAGTGTACAAATTCTCGCGATCACGACTTAAAGGCCGCACCTTACAAAGCATTATAACAACGGACTTGAGCAAATGTATCATCAGAATTGATTTTCGTCCGTTATTTTTGATAATTGTTCCGCACGTTTTTAGCGGACCTGGGGTTATAATTTTAAAATCTAATTCTAAATTTCAAATCATTTATAAGAAGATTTTCTTGCTATTTTCTTTATTCACTATGTGAAAATTTTATGGAATACCAAAAGTTTAAATATTTAGTAGATTTTAACATTATATTAAATTTATTTCGCATATTTTAAAGAATTTTAATCTTCTTGAAAACTTTCTTTACACATTTCAAATTTAATCTTCCACGCCCACTTTGAAGAAGAAGCCACATGATAAGTTATTTGGAACTTTATTCCGAAGTCGTAAATCGTAGAAACCTTTTACTGTGTACTTATTAATGTTTTAATTCCTTAAAGCTTCCATTTGACTTCGTATGAACTATCAAATCATACAAAGAGAAAGTCTTTTGCCAAAACGAACTGTTCTAATAATTAATCCATATTAATTCACTCATATCATTGCCTTCTTACTATCAGCAATCGCCATCATCAGAATTCATCATGGCTCCTTATCACCGACATCCGTGCCGCTATAATCTTTATCGTTCGTTTTACAGTAATCATTACCCATTGCTAACATTAAAGCGATCAGCATTAGCATCCTTTTACAGTGGCATCCCGTTGCTAGCACTATCATTAGAATAACTCTTATTATTATTATTATTATTATTATTATTATTATTATTATTATTATCATCAATGCAATTTTCTCCTCTTTCTCCCCCTTTCCTTAACTATCATCTTAATTGTAACCGTATCGTCAGTTTTATCACCAACTCAGCCTCTGATGTTCATTGCAGCTGACAAGATGATTACGAACCGCCCGAGGCCGTCAGATTTTAAAAGGATTTTCCAAGTTGAAAGTGTTAAAAACTTTGCGCCTATCATCTTAAAGCCAGTTAACGTTAGAGACGGTTGATCCGAATTAACATCGAGTGCTGGAAACTGTTTCTTCTTACTGAATGAAAATGTAATAGCATCTAATGAAAACGATTTAGAAAGCAAAGATCTTTGCTGCCGAGAACATCGGTTAATTATTCGCTTTTTACAACAGAGAGAAAGCAAATTCGGTATTTCAGACAACATTTTAAACATCTGTTTAATTATTTGGATGGAGACTGAAAGCTGGTTGCATTATTTTTCTGCTAAGTAACAAAAAATTTCGGATGCATTGTTGTAGTGTAATGCTTAGTTTTTTTTTTTTCAATCATTTCACCCCAAGCAAGGTGATAACACCACTAAGATGTAAAGAGTTCTACTGGAAGTGAAAGAGAAGGAAAAGACTTTATAAGGAACCAGAAACCGAATCCCCAAAGAGGAAATAAGTGGAAAACCTCTATCCCTGTTCAAAAGACCGGAGAAGTACGTGAACCAAACGATATTTGAACCTATGATATTGCTACCTCAGGGAGTTTGTTTTTCACTGGGTAACCCACACTATGGCCCTGTGCCAGACCAAATTAAGTTTACTTCATATCTACAAGGAAATATGATTAGATAACTCACAATAAAGCAGTAGATAGCAACAGAGTTTCGTGAGCCATTACTAGTAATTATGTTTGCTTACGGTCAAATCATATTGAAAACACCGGTTCTCGTTCGATCACCGAAGACAAGCAGTATCGATCCAGGTCAGTATTTAGATGGGGGACCGCTTGGAAACACCTGATATTGTAAGCAACGGCCGCTTGGAGTCTTCGCCGTGGTGTAATGGTTAGCAAGCTGGTATCGCTAATGATGGGTATATTGAATTTCGTATATTTGTAACGTAGCGTCACTTTGTTGACCTACTGTTCTTTCATACAATAATAATAATTTCAAAATATAAGGACCTAGACCTAGAAATGGAAATAATGTGGCATTTAAACCCAGTTTCCGTAATAATAGAAACACAAGGAATAATTAAAAAAATACGGATACATACATTTCACTGACCAGCCCCCTCCCCACCCGTGATCTGAGATAGAAAAGAATGTATTTAGGATCATCACTCATACTTCTACCCGCCAAATATATTATGCTTAGTTAGGTTTCAAGTAAAGGATCTTGTAAAAGAATACCTTCTTGTTCGAATCAAGGGCTTTTCAGCCCCGCTCGGAATAACACCTTCCAGATGCTGGGATCTACTGCTCTAAACACGATTGATGCCCATGCCAGAGATCATAGATTGGTTCCTGTTAGCGCGGCATGAAGGAACGGATTTTAATATGAAAGAAACACGTTAGATGAAAATTGCATGATTTTATTCAAATTGTCGTAACAGTCCATTTTTTAGAAAATAATATGTCTTTCCATTAAATGATCCATTATACTTGCCAGTAAACAATGATGTGCAGACATCAAAACAACGACACTTCTTATTATTTGTCAATTCATATTGAATTAATTTGTTTTTGTCAAAATTAATTTGACTGATGTTTTCATTTCTTCTGTCAGAGGGCAAATGAAGAGAATCAATCAGAGAAAAAAAAGAAATCACAGCTTGCTAAAAGAATTTGAATTGATTGTTGTATTCGACGATGTTCCTCAAGCACGGACTTTGTTTAACTTAACAATTCTCATATTTGGAGCAAAATATTATTCAGTTTTTCACTCCATAATAGTTTCTTATACAAGTGTCAAATTGATGTTTCTCCCCGGATGTCTCAATATGAACGCATACAAAAAGTAACCGTCCTTTCCTCATCAGGAAAACATGTTTAAAGGGTAAAATGATAATGAAGAGCGCAAAATTTGATAGTGAAATACAAAAGGAGAATTTTCAAATGTACAGAACCATATAAAATATAATCTAAAAAGACAAATAATCCGCAATGTTGCAGACTACGCATCAAGATGAGATATTATTCTCATGTTAATTTTATGAGCCTACTCATCTATGCTGGCTCAAGGCATGTTGGTAGAGAGCGTTTGAAGGTTTTACCGCAGTACATTACCAATTCTATCTGTGGTAGACTGGTTGATAACCAAGACTATAGAACGAATTTTATTTCGCTATACAACTGGAGGAAGAAAAAAATGGATCACATACCTTTCTCAAGTGAATGTAACAAATTCGACTAAGATTCGAATTTGATTCCCCGATTTCTCCTTCCGAGTCGATATCTATTACACCACCTGCACATCCAAACATATAGTTTAATACTTATAATGAAATTAATCTTGATAGAAGTAACACCTAAATCTTTATTCTTCTTCTATGTGCTTCTATAGGCAATCATGGCTCTCCCCAACATACTATCTCATGCGACTCTTAGCAGTTTTCCCTCCCTCCTCTATCCATACACACAAGATCATCAGGTAAGATTTCCCTTATATCACATAATCTCCATATGCCCCGTGAGGTTTAGGTTCCATAAACTGTCCTTTATTATATGTCCAAGGCATTTCAGTTCTTTTTTTTTTTTCCTGATTTTGATTCTTTTTGTTGTCTTTTTCTTTTTGCTAAATCGCTTCGTCCTTGAAATTATCAGTTTTCTTCTGTAGAATCACATTTCTCTTGATTCTGGGTGCTTTCTCAGCCTTAGGGAAATTGTCCAACATTCACTGCCATCTTTATGATTCCGCTATTTGAAGTGGGACAAACTAAAAATGTAATCATTAATAAGCGCAAGTAAATGTAACTAAAATGCTTTATTTCTCAATACATTTGTTAATCTTTCATAACATTTAGTTTAAACAGCTGTAAAGCCATCAAGATAATCATATTGATGACCAGACAAAATAATTTACACATTGGCTGGGAAGTTTTGACTCATCTAATATGTTCACCAAATATTATACATTTTAGTTAGCATTCATTCCAGTCCTTATAGAAATAAATCAAGTAAAGAAAAATCATATCACTGGGAGACTGAAAAAAGTGTTGAGAGTAATTGTATTTTGCTGAGGCAGATATAAGTTTCTACGATGGAATTCTGAAATTGGTTGAAAGATGACAAACGGTTAAATGGTAAATGTTTCATAACCAAGAAGTTAATGTCGAAAATAAAACTATTTTCTTTCATTTCATTTAATAAACTCAACAAACTTTTTAGCCATAAACTCTTAGGTTGAGTTATAAATAATTCTCCCTTTAGTTTATTAACTTTATTCTTCAGAAAATAAAGTACAATTACATTTTATTCAATTATCTATTCGTCTTTATTTGCCGGGGCCCATCAGGTTGCACTTTGATAACTTTTGAGTAAAAATGCGCAGGTTTTGACTTGAAAATGTTATTGATGAACTTTTAATGTTTTTTATTAGAGAAAGTTTTCTGCGTCAAAACGTTTTACAGCAATCAAAAATGGTAGTACTTGATTGGTGCACTATCACGTGACTCTGGCGGCTCGCGTAGAATTAACCAACCAATTACAAAATATTTTCCTGTGTTATTCTTTCTGTATGCGGCCTTGTGCTGTCAGGGAAGAGAGCAAAATTTTCATGTTGACAGGAGCAGGGTACTCTTTGAGCAAAAATTTAAGGAAACGTTGTAGATGATAGACATATAAATGTGCGTTATTGCTTCGTTGCGTTTTAAGAATTCTAAATGATTAATAGGTTACAGCGATCCCACCACAGATACAACATTACCTTTTTTTTATATGTTTTGCTTTTGGTGTCAACTACGCAGATTTATCTTTGTCAATCCACTGATTTTTGCGTTGATCATTGTTGTATGCAATCCACTTTTCATCACTTTTTATGATATATTTAACTAACGGTTGGTTAGGTTGATGCATTTGTCATTACAATTGATTCTCAAAAATGGAAATTCTTTGTGACTCAACCTAATATATAGGAGAGGGTGCTGAAATTTATCGATCCGAACGACTTCTCAAAATCTAACTTCCCCAAAAATATTATTTTTCCTTTATTTCTATTCATGAAAGTTTCTTCATTTTTGTTGTTATTATCGCAAAGTATCAGCCATTCGGCTTTCTTCAGATATCTATCGCTCCAGGTAGCCTTCAAGGAATTTCGAGCTGAACTGTTTATTTAATCTAAGGAAGTAGATTGTTCTAGATCCGCTATCCAGTTCAACCCTGAAGGTTAGCAACATCGATAGACCCTTGTAAAAAAAGATGAAAGTTTTTGATACTAACAATAAAGATGAGGAGTGTAAAAACTGTAAATCATGTCGAATATATATATATATATATATATATATATATATATATATATATATATGATGAACGTTTTATTACCTATATATAAAATATATATTTTTATATACATTTATATTTAAATATATATAAAATGATATATTTTTAAACCCTAAATAAATCATAAAATTCGAAGATTTGATTGAATTTTTTTTTAGAAATGATTCTCTAATAAAGAAATAAAATATAAAAGCGCGCACGCAAGCGTACACATGCACAAACACACATATTCAATTTTAAAAATTTAAAAATTTTAAAAATTTAAAAATTTAAAAGCACCCTATGTTAAGTTTTCTTTATACGTGTAATGATCACTTTATAATACAACTGTTTTCTAATTTAATTAAACTCTGACCAATAACTGTTATATATATATATATATATATATATATATAAAGTTTTTTGTTTCACTACACACACACATGCACACACACACACACATATATGTATTAAAGTGATTTATTATGCTGCCAATCTGAATAGATTGTCATATCTTTTATTTCTGCTATTTCTCTCAAGTTAGCAAATGCTGAAACGACAACATGATTCAACGAGCAGATCGGAAAGACAATGGCATTAAGCGAACATCACAATCAAACAATGAAATATTCAAAGGTCTCATCTGCGACCAGCGGCATGTCTATCAAAGTAAAGGTCCAAGCAACACAAGTGGCACCTGGAATGGCACTCTGTTTTAACAACGTGCCAGATCTTAGCCTTGCTGTTGTCACTTCTGCTGGTACCACAGCTACAAATGTCAGACTCAAGCAGATGTTGAATTCGTTTCTTTTGTATCAAGATACTTACACCCGCGGCAATCTAGGATTTTACAAGTGCAAAAACTTATCTAGCAAGAAGAGTAGCCGTTTAACTTTGGTGAGGAGATATTTTTCTCGGCGAAATGAGTTTGCTAAAAGAACGTCATTGATGTTTTTGTTTCACGTACTCATATATATTTTTATTCACGAAGAATTTTACGAAAGAAAAGCATGCTGAAAAATAAAATAACGACAGTATTATATGGAACAGTGACATGACTACAAAATTATATTATATCGGAAGAAGCGACTCTCTAACCTTCATACATTGCTTATGCGAGACTTTGCAAGCGCGAATCTCGTGTGAGTGACTTACACATACTTATATCATTTAACATATATACGAGCAAAAGCACACACAAGTACACGCATTTTGAATGTTTTCAAAATAAAACATTGGAATAACACAGTCATCTTTAACCCTGTCTGAACAACCTGTATCCATGGCTTAGCTATAAGATTATAAATCTGGAAACAAGGAAAAAATGAAATCTTACATTATTTACATTATTCGGCCTGTTATCATAATCTTCATTGCCATATTCACAACGTTTCGGCTGTTGTACGCTCCAGACTTCTTCAGATGATTGAAATTTCAAACTGAACCCTTTATTTCTTTTACAGGGGCATATTGTTCTAGTTCCACGTGCCATGCCTCTTCCAGATGTCTCAGTTACTTCTCTTTAACTCAACTCTCCAAGTTTTGCTTCAC